TGAAATACATTGGGAATAAAATTCAGATATCCATCTCAGCCTTTGACGGGGTTTGGGTTTTTTTGTCCCGCTCCTATTCCGATCTTGATATATATATATATATATATATATATGTATACGGGGGTGGAGGTTTACTAACTTACTCCCACTTATTTTTTAAAATGAGTAAGTTTACAAGATACACTTGGATGCATTTTTAAAAAATTGTAGGTATAGCTTGCTAACTTACTCCTTCTTAAAAATAAGTGGATGTAAGTTAGCAAATCCAAATATGTGTATGCATATTATATAGGGAACATATCCGATGAAAGTATGTCTTAATATAAGAGATGAGAGAAATAAAACATAGCCTTTAGATGATTATACATAAAAATAATGAATGGTTAAGATTATTACTTAATTACTTTTACTCCTTTACAAGATTATTACTATTATCCCTTCTATAACAATCAACATCACCACCACTCATTGCCACTACCACCATTGTTGATGTAGTTGTTGTTGTCACCACCATAATCATTAACAACAATGGTGATGGTGGTAGTGATGATAACGACAACATAGGTGGAGGTGCAACAATGCAACCAACATCTTCGTCTGTCATCAACAATGACAGCGACGATAGTAGTGACAACATTGTTGGTATTGCCACCAACACCAACACCATCATCATCACCGCCACGATTGTTGTTACCATCACCAGTATTATCGACATTATCGCCTCCACAAAATGACAACCACGAGGTTAACGGTAGTGGTGGCGTTGTCGTTAGCACCACCACCGTCATTGCCACTATTATCATTATTGTTGCCACTATTATCGTTAGTGTTGCCACTGTTATGCATTTGAGAAGCATACCAATTATTATAAGTAGAAAGTTAGACAAAAGTCCAAGTATCAAATTCATAAGAACTTGTATAATTAGAGTCAATCCTAAGGGTAGTTTAGAAGTGCAATTACCTAGGACCCTTAATTAGGAGGTCCCAATTTTATTAGACATATTTTTAAGAAAAAAGAATAGAAAATACTTCTTGTTTTTATATTTGTGTGTATCTTAATGTGAGACCCTTACTACCCCAACACATATATTACAACAATGTAAATAAGCTAAAGAATAAAATTTTCAACATTGATGAAAGGGTTCACATAAAACCTTCATAATTGTTCTTCAATATCCAAAATAATTGAAAATAAAACTTGCAAAGTAAAACTTAAGAGTTTACAAATTGTTTTCAAAAGAAAAGGTACAACTCCAAATACTTATAAAAATTTATATCCTAGAATCCTCTGCCCCGATGTCACAATACCAGAGCACACCTATAATTCAAATGTTGGCATTCTAGATGCCACTCAAAGCTGGGTCTTCCTCACCTAAAACATCTACAAATTGTACGGTGAGAAAAGAAAACATCTATATGTAAAGTACACAAGGAAAATCCAACACATCATTTCATCATAACTCATTACTTTACAACCATCTCTATATATTCTAATTCTAACAATCATGTATCAACTTCACATCACAAATTCACAATCATATCAATCCATTACAATTCTTGTAATTAACACTATCATTTTCACATTCATAATCCACACAAATCTTACAATTAACAATATGCCAAGGCCACGCTGCAACTGATATAAGTGATACGGGTTAATTGCCTCACTCATCTCACACTATGTCAGGGGCACGCCGTCCTTGTAGCATCACTTACCCAAGGGTCGTCTCATCCCTGGTCATATGTGTGAGGAACCACAATCATATCACATCAACATCTCATTTCATGTCAACATACTCATGTCATGTTATCAATTCAATATTAAAATAGTAGATATAATATATACATTTGTACGAAGGCAGCACACCACATTCCATATCTAGATCATCAATTTTACCAAATAATGTAACAATAATATTTATAAATTAATATAAAAGCTAATAGTGCTTTTCGGTAGCTTATCTCATCAGAACTTCATAGTTAAGTGTGCTTGACTTGGAAAAATATAGGGATGAGTGTCCTTTTGGAAAGTTTCCCTGAAATTGTGTAAGTAATGACAAAACATGCTAAAAAGTGAAGTATTGTGAAATAGAATTCTTGAGAATAATAGCGACCAAATTTGAGACGTCTATAAAATTTAATAAAATAAAAAATAAATATTTAGCAACAAGTGCTTTAAGGGTCGTAATTCCAATTTTGCGACGGTTTGTGTAACGGTTCCAGTAACTGTCGCAAAATTCACTCGTGACGGACATTTTTGCGACAGTTGGTGAACCATCGCAATGGTGTCTTTGTGACAGTTCTAACCGTCGCAATGTAGACTATATAACTGTCGCAAAATCATTATTTTCTTGTAGTGACCAATCTCATTATTTTCATGACTATTTATTCTTTTAATTTGGTTTGAATTTAAAATAAAATAAAGTGCAAAAAAATTAATTTAAAATTAATTAATTAAAATGGATGTCAATAATAATTTTAAGAATCAAAATATTTTTATAATCATAAGAACTAATTAATGAATTCAAAGATTAATTTAGTGTATGGATAAAAAAAAATAACTTAGTTATCACTCAATAAAAAAATAAACAAAATGGTTTTATTGCAAAATAAAAATGCATGCTTTCTTATCTCTTTTCTTTATGAATGATTCATCATCCTTATCCTATCATATGATCATGTTCCAAGGAGATTCATCATTAATAATATCCCTATCACAATATCAATTCAAAAAAGATCATTATTAATGGTTTATGAAAAATATCGTAATTATTGAAAAATAACACATTAATAGAAGCAACTGTGTCCGCAGAATATATTCTTAAATTATTTCAAAAACTGATAATGATAAAAAAGTATTTAAAACAATATATATCATTGTGTAATAATTGTGTTTCAAAAGTTATTAGTGATT